AGCAAGGCTGCATCATGAGACCTGCAGCTTTTTCAAGCTTTTTCAAAATGCGCAATTAAAACCATTTATATTTTCACTGTTGTATACTTACTGTACAGTGATTTTTTATTTTTTGTATTTTGGCAGTGGAGTGTCCTTTTAATCAGTACCTGCCTCCAAAGTGCTGTTGTTTAAGGAATGTCTAACTTTAAGCTACCTCCAAACATAACCTTACCCCAAGCCTTAACCCCCTACCTTCAAAACCAAACTTAAACAAACCTTACCCCTACCTCCAAAACCAACCTTACCCTAAACCGTACCCCTACCTCCAAAACTAACCTTACCCCAAACGTTACCCCCACCTCCAACACTAATCTGACTCTCTACCTCCAAAACCAACCTTACCCCAAACCTTACCCCCTACCTCCAAAATCAACATTACGCTAAGCCTTAACTCCTACCTCCAAAACCAACCTTGCTCCAAAACATACTCCCTGCCCAGGCCAACTTTGCTTCAAACCTTACCTCCAAACCTAACCTTACCCAGACATCATGCTGACTTCCCCCTTTATAGGCATCATTCTAAACATTACCATTAGTGATGGAGTAATGGCACAACAATCAATCGCATTACTATAGGTTACACAAAAATGTATAACTTGCCTTTTTAACAGTAATTTTTTAATCTATAAAGCCTCATACTGAAGGTCAATCCACTAAACATTGATTAATTTAACAATTATTCATAAAGAATTATACAAATTTTATCAATCAAAATACATACTTTAGATGTAAAAGTCAGTTATATATTGCTCTAATATATTGCCCACTTACTAGCCATAAACTGCACAAACATTGCTTTAACCTTATTTTACACCTAAGGGTTACATCTTGGATCTTAGAAAATATTTAGCTTTGTTATTTTATTCTAAAAGCTTTTATATACTTTACAGTCTGATGTGACAGTGATTCATTTCAATAGGCAACAATATGACTACAATCTGAAAATTTAAGGAACGGGAAACACTTTCTCCTCTCAAATGATGAAATTCATGACCAGAGAAGTGTCCATTTCCTGTTCATTCACCTCAGTAAATGCTATTTCACACTTTCACTGATCTTATTTGTTAAAAAAAACTTTATTAAATTATTCATTTAACTATTCATACTTTCCAAGTTCCAATTGAAACCAAGGGTAAAATATTGTGTGGTCTCACAACCTTACACTTGGTCTCCTACTTGTATGTATGTAGTGGACATTGAATGAGATATCCTCCTTAAACCAACCATGAACTCCCCAAAAAACAACAGGCAGTAAATCTTTGGATATAACATGCCACAGCATTTATTAAAGCATACAAATACTGTATAACGCATCCATTTTGTATAAAACTGTACATATAAATAACTTAAAGCGAACATAACTTAACATATAAACAACGGTGCATAATGTCATAAGGTATGCCCTTAATGTAATCAAAACGTCCTTGCCAATCTAATTCACCCCTTCCCAAAGGCTCTCACCTCCTCACTCAGCATAATAAATTCCTCTTCCCTTTTGGGATCCCCACCAGCCGGCTTTCAGCTCGGTGGGGACATGTCCAACCTGGTACCCCTTATGGTTTACCATAAGAGACAGGGGAGGAAGAGACCCGCCCATTTTCCCCTTACTCATCTACCTGCAAACCATCTCCAACCCTATTTATCAAGGACATGCCCCCCGTCAAGCTGTGACAAGGATCCTAAGGGGCACGAGGTCAGCTTAATTTGTCACCACCCACTTCCTCACATCCTACACTCCCACCCATAACAAACAGCCAATCGTGTTTCATCCATTCCCACACTCATACATGTGCCCTTGTCCGCTAAGTGGTGCACTCTCCATTGGTCCTGAGTGTCCATGCTATTTTTTTTGTGTGGCTTTTATTCCAAACAAGTGAGCTATACTTTCCATTCCACTCCTCTGGCCTTAAATTTGAAATTCACTCTGAACTCATTTGAACTCTCACTTTAGTAAATAACCCTGTGAGTCTGCGGCAATGGTTCATCTACTATATAAAAAAAAGCAGTAATTCCTTAGTTACAGGGTAATTCACTAAAGTGAAAATTCAAAGTGAATTTAGAATTTTAGGCCAACATAACTGAACTTGAAGCACAGCTGGCTTAGAGAATCTTCCCAATTTAGCTATTTTGGCCATAAATTTGAAATGCACCTTGAATTCTCAGTTTAGTGAATAACCCATTGTGTGTACCAGAGGCATCTTTATCAATTAAATAATGTTTAAACATACACAACATCACAGCTGTGCAATGATGGTGCAAAGTTGAATCCTAGCACTATAGTACACTATTGTGCCCCCTCACAGGATTGAAAGATTTAAAATAAAGTTTGTCGCTTACCTGATCAGGCTCTGTCTCCGCTCCTCCTCCTCCGATGTCAGCCAGCGGGAGTTGAACCTAACATGCGTTGAGTCCTGCAATTGCATTACGACTACCCCATCGGAATGTATTAAATTAATACTTTCCTGTGGGCTTTTAGCTGACACTGGAAGTCCTCATGCAAAGCATGAGTTAAACCTGCAAGGTAATTATTGTATTTTGTCAGGGTGAAGTAGACAGGGGAACTGCTCACAGACCACTTCATTGAGATGGAGTGGTCTGCGTGCCTATATTGTCCTTTTAACTCATTGGCTGACAGAGATCAACTGATGGGACTGTAGGAAGTTTCAGAGCAGGAGCTTCTGACTCTTACTGAACAGTAGTGTAGGCTGGAAGCAACTCCCGATGGACCACAGGCAATCAGTCCATCTGCTCTACTTACAGTGGGAAACATCAGGGCACTCCTGGCACCATAACCACTACAAAATGTTGTAAAGGTTATGGTGCTTGGAATATTTCTTTAAAAATATTTAATGGACATAAATCATACAATACATTATTACTTTTCAAATTGGCATTTAAACAATTTAGCTAGTTTGGGAATATTTCGAGTTGAGAGAATAATCCTTAACTTCTCTACTCCTTAACTTCTCTTTTAATTCTCTTTGTCAATACTGCTTTATATTTTCACACCTATCTTACACAGCAGGGAGCTAATCCTTCCTTTTTTAATATAACAACGAGTTTTCCGATTGAATTAGATGTTTAATACCTTCTTTGATGTTATGGTATCTGTTGCCATACAGAGAAGGTTGTCTTGTTCAAGCTGTGCCAGATCAAATGTTACACTTACCCTATCTACCAAAATAGATTAGCTTCATTTATTTTCAAAGGTAAAAATGTGGGGATTGGAATGTCGTCTTGCGGGGCACAGTGGATGGGTCGCAGGGTCTCAACTTTAATTGAAATAAATCTCTTTGAATAAAACCATCTTTCTGATTACACTGACGGAGATGTCAGTAATGTGTGTTGTGTAGAAATCACAATTTTTTTTAACATTTCTTTTATACTGAGCTTTTACTTATTCCTGTACTATAATGGCAACATTTGAAGCACAGTGCTTATCATAGACCGTAACCTCTAGGTATAAAAAAAGCTCCAGGCATAATTATAATTTCAGAATACTGTATACAACACAGAACCACAACACCCAGTACATAACAATTCAGAAGGTGCTTACAAAATGCTAATTTTTGTGGTAAGTGAATACGTGATTTGTAAAATTGGGCTGAATATTTAGTAGAAAAAAATCTTTAAAGGTGGAAACTTGTTCCAGTTTGGTTATTTTGAAACAAATTATGCAACTCAAATGTCAATTTACAGCATCTTAATTTTTAGTGAACAGATCATGAAGATTTGTTTATATATTTTATGGTATCCAATAGTCAATGAAAATGCTTTCACACTTCTCTGAAGTACAGATATAACTGATGGCAATGTAGAAATTAAAAGAGTGGTTAAGTTCCTGAGATGATGAGTGCATGGTTAGCGTCTTGGCTAGCTGAGCTTAGCTCAAATAAAGAGCATCCAAATCTCCTATGGCTGTAGTGGAAGAGACTGGGGTCATTGTCCTTCTCCCACTCCAATTTGAAGTAGACAAACCATTTTGGAATGGATTTACCTTTTACAAAGGGTCAGCCAGGGGCTGCTCCTCTCTTCCACTACAGCCATAGGAGATTTGGATGCTCTTTATTTGAGCTAAGCTCAGCTAGCCAAGAAGCTAACCATGCACTCATCATCTCAGGAACGCAATGGAAGTTTTCTAAGCAGGAGCCTCCAAATTTCCTGGTTACTGAGAAGAAGCAGGGTGTGATGCCAATTAAACAACAGTAAGGAAGCCAAAACACTTTAAAACAGTTTGACTACTTGCAAGGCAACTCTCTCACCATAACCACTACAACATGCTGTAATGGTTATGGTGTATAGAATATTCTTTCAGGAAGTGTCTCAGAAATGGCACTGTTTTCATTCAACAGACTGCAGATGCAGCAATAATGCCATCAACATCACTTAATTAAGAAAAAGGGATTTTGATGCTTAGATTTTCCCTTTAACAGTTCATGTTACTGGTTTGGGAATAAATCTGTGCATCATGCTTTTTCTATGACAACTTGTTGCTTGTAGTAATGTATCCTGTTAAATAGACTGTGGGGTAAACAGATGAATAGTAAAACAAGGACTATCCAGCACAGGAGCAGAGTGCAATATTTTTGATTCAACCAACGCTCATTTATATATGGGGACTTAAGAGGCTAAAGAAGTTAGTGTTTCAATAAATCACAGACAACATGTTGTTTATGGTCAATAATGAACTACAAACACATTTAATATTAAACATATTAAAAACAAACAAACAAAGTTCAGTACTACCTTCTGTTCACTAAACTATTCTAAAGCGTTGGGGTAATCCTTCCACCAGACCCATGGGTACCACTTCTAAATAGGAAGTATGGGGATCTCACTCTCTGTCGTGAAGCTCACAACTATGCAAACTGCATGTGTATGGCTCTGAGACTCTACTTGCCCTGTGCAGCTCTCTGTGCATTGGGAGGAGGAAGTGAGGTAACTGCAATTACTTCCTCCCAGTGCTGAGGCTGTGCAGATAATGGGTGGGCAGCATGCGCTGCGGAATAAGCAGCAAGCAGCCGTCTTTACTTGGTGTCCTGCCAGCTTGACATTCTTTTCTGCGCCGGGAGGAAGAAATAACAGTTCTCTGCACTTCCTCCCGGCACATAGAGATAGAAAGACAGGAGAAGGAAGGAACCAGCTGGCAAATCCTAGGTGCCAGGACAAAATTCTTAATCGCCATGGCAACCTGGCACCTGGGATTTTTCGAGTTCTGGTTTAATGGTTTAATGTTAAACATATTTAAGTTAGGGGCTTCACAAACATCGGTACGCACTGAAACTCCATTAAATATTTGCAAATTGTGGTGCTCAAGTGAATTAAACTTTAGACTAAAATGCAAGAATGAATAAATTTCAGTCAACAAGCTTAAAACAAATAGCACAGAATCAGATACATTATATATATATATCATAGATGGAATGTTACTCCGTGTCAGTTTTGCAGATACAGATAGTAGAATAGAACACATAAATCTTCTTTAGTGTAGCCATAAATGTATTACTGTGAACAATCTTTTATCTTAACTTATAAGTGAAGGGCTTGGAAACTCCTAGATGAGTAAGCATTCCATTGCTAAAAATAAAGGGTTAGTAAAGCCATAATATAAATGGCTTTTATGGGAAATAGCACACTAAGACAAGTTCAAATATGTATGTAAAATTAATGAGAACTGCCTTCTATGCATTTTATTGCTGCAAGAAGTCCTACATTTTATTGAAAGGTTGAACGGCTGCAGGGAGATAAACTAGAAAAAAAAAAGACAGATAACTGACCCATTTATAATCAAAGCTTCATTCTGATTGATTGTCAGCCAATCGGAACACATATGGAACTCAGATCATGGTCACTGACCAGAAAATCCACAGATGAGGATAAACTAATAACTGCCCCAGTCTACTGGACAAAACATACTGCAGATGTAATTGGTATCCAGTAAAGGTAAAATCATTTGTAGCAATTATACCACAAACAAAGAACTAAATTAGGAATACGGTACAATGAATAATGCATAATACACAAACCATAATAATTACATTTAATCTCCCTCAGATTTTTATTATTCCTGTTATTCTGCACCCCAATGATTATTTTGTGAAAGTTTGATCTAATTCAAAAGGAAACTCTACACTCAATGACCATATCAGTGATTTGAAGTGATCATGGTACTTGGAGACTGTACGTGCATTTCACTTTAAAACAATGCACGTAGGAAGTTTAACCCCTCTGTGCCGGAGGTGCAACTCCATCTCATTGGAGTGTCATTGGACGGTCATCAGCCAGGCCAGGACTATAGTTCCAGACTGGCTAATGTCAATTCTGTGCAACTTTCATTGCACAGAATGCCAGTCATTGGCTGAAAGTGGTCAGCCAGCCATGTCACCAGACCACCAGGAACTCTTGGAGCCTGGTGGGGACCCAGTTAATGGGCAAATGGTTTACTTTGGGCATCATAAACAGTAAAGATGGTTCTAGTAATCTAGTGTTACAAGAACTCTCCAAACCATTATAGAAGTAACCCCTTTTTGTTCATCCAGTACTCTGTTCGGTATCCAGACTGTACAAACGGTTATATCTACGCATTCATATATACGAACGACGGACCAACCTGCACTTGGTGTGTGCCGCCAATTAACCCCGGTCACCTTTAAAAGTACCGAACCACCACCGAAACACCCACACTGGGAAATGCCAGCGCCACGGGATACCACCTAGACACTACTGGGGCGCCTCCCCTTTCCCCTCCCATCCTCCCCCCACTCCCAAGAACACTTCCACTAAAAAATACACTCAGCACATCAATGCAGCAACAAAGAGACCGACCTATTAACCCACACGCAATGTTACTCAACCACACTACTTAGGAGCCCACAAACCCCCACGTGACAACATAAGGCCTGAGCCTACAAATCCAGAACCACATAACAGCAGGTATATAACGGAATCCACGAAACCACTACACGCATCGAACTGACTCAAGACTTTAGAGACGGACAAACGACAAAAACACCCACACGGTTCCTATCTGAAACTGATACTTGTCAGCAGAACAAATCCATTGTATAATGGTGGAAACTTACAATATACACTCCTGCAAACAACTACCTCTATGCTACTCCAAACCTAGCATAGAAAGTACCCCTTCCAAGCTGGGACAACCATACTGAGAGCGGGGTTTCGTGCAAATGTGTAGCCGACACTCGCTCCATGAGTTTTAGGTCAAGGTCCCGCTGTCCATTGACCGACCTTAAAACATGGCAACGAATAAGACTTTGTATGACAGAAACCATCTGTTCTGTTCATGGGATCTGAGTGCAATTCGTATACCTGAGGCGCTCAGATCTGAGCTACCGAATGAATAGTCGAACGAGCTGTATTCTCATCAAAATGTTGAAGTTATATATTTTTATACTGTTTTGGGCGCTTGGAGATAACTAGATTGTATAACCGTTGGACTCATTATCTCCAAGCTGGGCGGGTACTATTTTGAATGATACAGTGCAATGTGATTGGTTGAATCCTTTTGTTGTACCTGTGTTCCATCAGGTCCAGAGGGGGCTGTCCCTGGACCTGGGGACTTGCATAAATTGCCATATCGGTGTGCCATTAAACTCAGTTCGTTTTACCCTCAACTCGCAGCCTCGACTCGTGTTGTAGGGAATCGGGAATCCTAGCTTTACTATAGCTAGTGGGATATTCTACACTTACAGGTTTCTACCGCTTGAAGCAGCGTTCAACTCTCCAACTTCGGGAACCAGGACATCCAAGTGATCCAACCTCCTGCTAGACCGGAGGCAATCATAACATCTAGTAATCCCTTTAATTGAGCTTTGAATAATTAAATAGTTTAGAGAGTAGACTATCTGATTTTTGTTGAATGCTACCAAATGTTTGAGGACAATGTAGTTTATAACAGTTGACTGTCCACCTTCTTCTATAAACATGTTAATAAAATTTATATTTTTTGTACAGCCTTGTTTTTTTCACAGTTATATTGAATCCAGACTAATTTATATCAATATACAGCTTTACATCATATATGCTATGTAGAAATCAACACAATGCATTACAACAGTATTGTATGTACTGATTGGCTCAAACAATGACTGTGATATATCATATGAAGAAGACAGTATAGGTTTCTGTGTATCTCTATATAAAAGATATGCATCACCAATGCATGGAATTATACAGCCCTAAGCAAAAAAAAACAATTTTGCTCAATCTCCATGTGTTTCCTTCATCTCCATAGGGTCTCCTGTTTTAAACCCATTGTACAGGCAACAATTTATATTATCACCCCTCCCTATTGTTTGCATTTTGGGCAGGGAGAACAGTCTTGATCTTGGGGTCTAGTGGATGTTGTATAATCTGCACTTGTGTCTGTGCTAATTTCTCTTATTTCTCCCTCCAGGGCTGGCTTTAAGGGTGTGCAAGCTGTACAACCGCACAGAGCACCATGGCAGCAGGGGCGTCGGGCAACCAACATAGCTTGCACACACAGGGGCCGGTGAAAGGTAGAGCTTTAATAGCCGGCTGCAAGTCCTTAAGGTGGGGGTGGAGCTAGATGTAATATTTGCAGAGCTAAATGGAATCAGGGTGGAGCAAAATACTGCCAGAACCTGCTGCCTGGCTACCACTGCACACTGAGGGGGAAGCAGGAAGGTCCCTGCTTCCTTAACAACTAGACACTTTAATATCTTTAACCTCCTTCTTTGCCCTACAGTGGCCACCCCCAAAGTAACCATACAGTAGATAGTCTTGCATGCTACTTTACCAACAAGAATGGACAGCTAAGGAAAGAATTCTCACCACCTTGCCCCTCTCTTTCTCAACCACACCTGGATCATGCCTTTCCTACCCTTTAGACTTTCTCCCAGGCTACTGAACTAGAGGGGGCTGCACTTCTCCTTTCCTCTCGCCCTGCCACTTGCTCGCATGATCCTGTCCCATCTCACCTTATCATATCTCTTTTCTCTTGTCTTGTGCCTTCCTTAACACATATCTTCAACTGCTCTCTCTCTTCTGGTGTTGTCCCTGCTGCCATTAAACATGCTACTGTAGTAGCTATCTTAAATAAATATCTCTTGACTCGGCCTCCCCTTCTAACTATTATAACCATATCCCTGCTCCCTTTTTCCTCAAAGCTTCTTGAAAGACTTGTCTTTACCCGTCTGACTTGTTTCCTCAATTTCAACTCTCTCCTTGACCCTCTTCAGTTTGGCTTCCGCCCCTTCACTCTACTAAGACTGCTCTTATCAAAGCCACTAATGACCTAATCACAGCTAAATCCAAATGGCACTACTCCATACTAATTCTTCTTGACCTCTCTGCTGCCTTTGACACTGTTTTGACACCTCTCTGCTGCCTTTGACCATGTTCTCCTTCTCCAGACTCTCCAATCACTCGGTCTCTGTGACACTGTCCTCTCTTGGTTTTCCTCTTAGCTCTCCCAACGCTCATTCAGTCTCCTTTTCTTATGATACCTCCTCCCTTTGACCTGTCTCTGTTGGAGTCCCGCAAGGCTCTGTACTTGGTCCCCTTCTATTTTCTCTTTATACTGCCTCTCTTGGTAAACTTATTACCTCACTTGGATTCCAATAGCACCTGTACGCTGATGACACCAAGATGTACCTCTCCTCTCTAGACCTCTCCCCTGCTGTTCTGGAACGTGTCATTGCTTGCCATTCTTCCATCTCTGATTGGATGTTCTTCTTGAAACTCAATCTTACTAAAACTGAACTTCTTGTCTTTCCATTAATGATCCTCCTCTCTCGCTCTCCCTTCAAGTTGGTGGTACCTAGATCAGCCCATCCTTTGCTAGCGCACTGTCTTGGCATTATATTTGATTCTGGCCTCACCTTTGAGCCTCACATCCAGTCTGATACCAAATCCAGTAGATTCCACCTTAAAACCATCACCTGAATCCAGCCCTTTCTTATGCAAGATGCTAATAAGAAGCTTGTCCATGCTCTAGTAATCTCTCGCATGGTTTATTGTAACTCTCTCCTAATTGGTCTTCCCAGAAGTCGTATTGCCCCGCTACAGTCTGTAATGAATGCTGCAGCTAGACTGATTTTCCTCTCCTGTCGCTCCTCTCACACCTCTCCCCTCTATCAGTCCCTACATTACCTTCCTGTATCCTATGGGATTCTATTCAAGGTACTAATCCACACCTAT